ATATATATATATATATATATATATATATATATATATATATATATATATATTCCTATACTTCTACTTCGATCCTATACTTACGCCAGTATAACAACCTCCTACGTAAATAACCCGTCGACCTATGTGGGAGTAGCACGTGCTCTCTCTACAGATTAAACGACTACCATACTTTCGTCTCATAATACGTCGAGAGGATTTATACCGACGTAAATATCGAGTTTTTGTTTGTAATGAAAAATACTGTTTTTTTAAATTATTTCACCTATAGTGATCAGCATCATCATCAGAAAGGGCTGTATTTTAAACATGTGAAGTCGTCGGGTCGTTAGTAGGAGATATTTAAGATAAAAAAAAAAAGATTTAATAAGAGCAACGGAAGTCAAAACAATACTTTTTTTGAATTTGTCTTTATGTATTTTTTTTCATGGGTGATAATGGGATGGTAACTTTGGTTGTGCTATCGATATACCGATATCTTGATGGGGCACCCAGCCAGGGATGATAGATGAGAATAAATGCAGGTCAATTGACCCATGGTCATGGTCCACAAGAATTAACCAAAATGGTTTCCAAAGGGAACCGCATCCTATCGAGAAATAGTGTATTTCACTTCAAAATTCATACAAAAGTTGTTGGCAAAAGCTAATCATAAATAAAAATTCAAAGGCGACAATATATATATATATATATATATATATATACAATATTTTGTAATATTATTTAAGTGATGCAATAAAGAGTAAATAAATAAGTAAAACCTACAGCACACTATAATAAAAAAAAAAAAAACATAAAGAAATCATCACTTCAGCATTATGACAAGTGTGCGCCGACGCCACGTCGTGTGCAGCTACGCAGATCATTCCATATACACGTCAATATTTACACACTGATATATTTTCCCTGAAATGTTCTAATTTTAAACTGAAAAGGTGTGCGCCGTTTGGTTACGCCCTCGGTTCGTGATTTATGACTTTTGATACGAAACTTTTTTTTACTTATTATTACATATTTATATGGTTTCAAATGATTGTGTGTGTGATATTTAATTATTCTCGTATTGTTGTGTGTGCGTGTATGCATGCATGTGTGTATGCGTGTGTGGGTATGGTCCACAGGAATGGCAACGCATGGGGGGTATCATGGGAGAAACAGTATACTCTGTTATGTCCATGCTACTGCTCATGTCTATAGGCGACGGTTACCATTTTCCATCAGGTGGGCCGTCAACTTGTTTGCCATTCTAAGTTGTAATATATATATATATATATATATATATATATATATATATATATATATATATATATATATATATATATATATATATATATTCTTTATTGCACTTAAACAATACATGCGACGATTAGTTTAACAACCCGTTAGCAAGGGAGGACTTATCTCTGCAAGAGATCTCTTCCAGCCGACCCAGTGTAGTTAGAGAGAAAATAATTTAATTTGGGTAATCGAGTGCAGAAAATGGATTGTAACGAAAAACACATCATAGATTATTTGATATTGTTTCAGATACTTTTATAATGTACTCAGTTATTTAAAAATAACCTTTTAAGCAGCTTAGAATAGCAAATAAGCTGACCGTCCACCTGATGAAAAGTGGTAGGAAGGGATTGTTAGTAATGGGGATTAGACGTCCCATTGTTAGCAATACACATTGAAAGATCCACGTCCCCGTAGCTCCCCCTGGAAACCATAGCACTCAGTCTCGAGAGAATCCATCACGATGAGCGAACCGATCTGCGTTTTCATTGTCACCTATAATGGCGACGGTACTCGCAGACAAATAGTACCTACATACCTATAGTTTTTTTTTTTAATGGATGATAATGGAATGGTAACCCCACCCGCGATATCGGTATACACCGGCGGGGCACCAGTGAAGAATGATAGGTGAGGATGAAGTAGGTCAATTAGCCTATCGTGACGAATTCAACAAGAATTGGTCACGATGGTTTCCAGGGGGAACCACGTGGCGGTTGACCTAATAAGGTATATTGCTAGCAATGGGGCTGTCAAACTCTATTGCTAACAATCCTTTTCCCCCCACATACCTATAGTAGCCCGTGCAATTTCGAAACGTCGGCAATAAAAATCAGATATGTATTGTAGGTTAGGTTATCTCTTATTGGTGCCCCGCTAGCGTATACCTTTAGCGCAGGCGGAGTTACCATTTCATTATCATTTATTTAAAAAAAATACAAATCCGAGTAATCCCAATAGCACTCTTAACGCATTTTTTTTATACCACGCCGGTGACAAACATGCAGGGTAGCCTAAGGACGTCTACAAGACTAAGACATTACGCTGAACTCGTAAGGCGCTGTACTACTTCTGAGTATGAAAAGCCCACAAACTATTCGTGTAGTAAGGTTGTGTGAAATGTATCAATTAGCGTCATTCTATTTCCAGCGCGGTGTTACGGTGTTTATTTTGAATATCCGATTTAAAGCACATTCAGTTGCGGAAGTGAGCTCTCACATATATAAATAGCATATATTTAACGTAAATCGTTACGTACTCGATGGTACACCAAGTATTCGGAATGCTCTCTAACGGGAACTGTTAACGTTTTTATAGGAAGCTCGCTTGCCGACTATTTAAAAGTGTTCGTAAACAATTCTGGTAAAATAAATAACATTTGATTTAATAAAATAATTTCCTATACAAATTAAAATTAATTCTATTTTTATTTTTAATATTTGCAAGGACGTGTAACTGAATACTGTTTGAAAGGTCGAAGGACCGCTTGAAAGGTCGGAGGTTGGATGGTCGAGGGTCGGAAGTTGGACTTCAACAGTATTAAAATAAAAAAAAAAGGAAAATTTCTCGTATTAAAATTATATCTGTCTTTTTTTATTCGATCCTCGTTCTAGTCATTTGTTTTGTCTAAGTTTTGCCTATAGAATGTCTTAGTGGCCGAGAAAACCGGTTAAAGAGGCCGCAACAATACCAATTTGTTCTTTTTAGAATTAGAATGAATGGATGTATACTAAAGAATTTTCCAAATTGGTTTACAACTGACGGAGTTATGAAGTGACAAACAAAAAAATACAACTTAATAGAGAACTTCTTTTTTTGAAATTGGTTGAAAATTGTCTACTCGTGCGAAGTCGGGCTTGATTGCTAGTGAGTTATATAAAATAGTTTTTTTTTCATAAGTGAAGATAGAATGGTAACCCCGCCTGCGCTATCGGTATACGCTGGCAGGGCACCATTGAAGGGTGACGTATGAGGATGAAGGCAGGTCAGTTGGCTCATAGTGACCAATTGAACAAGAATTAACCACTATACTTTCTAGGGGGAACCGCGTGGAGGTTGACCTGGTGGGGTGTATTGTTAGTATTGAGGCTGTTAAATTTCATTACTAACAATCCTTTTTCCCTTTAATAAAACAGTTAAGTCAATGAACATCGGAGTAGATAGTATCAGTCTGAAGAAATTGAAAAAGCTAAAATACGAAAACAGAAAACGAGAGTTCTATTGAAAGCGCTCGTAGCCGTCAGCGTATCGCCGAGGCGCTGAATGTACGCGCGTAGCCGACAGCGTTTTGCTGAATGCGCGTAGTCGTCAGCATTCCGCTGATTACGTACGTAGTCGACTTCTGCGAAATGTGCGCGTAGCACCGACCAATAATTTTCCTTTGAGACATTGTTCAATATCGAATACGGTTTGATCTGTTTCAACAGAATTTAGAGATAACAAATTTTGTTGAAATTATCACAGATACATTTACACAACTTAGAATGGCAAACAAGCTGACGGCCCACCTGATGGAAAGTGGTAACCGTCGCCTATAGACATGAGCAGTACCATGGAAATAACAGAGTATACTGTTTCGCCCATGATACCCCCCATGCGTTGCCATTCCTGAGGACGTTATTCCTCTGTACCCAGTAAATTCACGCCATATCCCACCCTTCAAACCGAAACACAGCCATGTAAACAACTGCTTTACGGTTGAAACACGAATGGGACAGAGGTACTTAAGCAATCGACTTTTGTACAAATTAGTAACAAATGGATTTCCATTTAGTTAGTTAACTCATCAATTTAAAATATTCAATATATTTATATTGAATATTTTAAATTAACGCATTGTTGACATATGTTTTAAATACACTATTAGGACTTAATACAATGCGGTTGCAGGTAAATAGTTACTACATACATACCTGATTGTTATTGCCGACGTTTTAAAACTGCGCAGGCTGCTAAAAAGTATGTACAATACGTTTACCAAAGGGAGACTTTGTACAAAAGTTGTTTGCTTGGGTACCTCTGTCTCATTCGTGTTTCTACCGTGAACCAATTGTGTTTACATGGCTGTGTTTTAGTATGAAGGGTGGGATATGGCGTGAATTTACAAGGTACAGAGGAATAACACCTGAGTCCTTAGGAACGGCAACGCATGGGGTGTATCATGGGCGAAACAGTATACTCTGTTATGTCCAGGATACTGCTCATGTCTATAGGCGACGGTTACCACTTTCCATCAGGTGGGCCGTCAGCTTGTTTGCCATTCTAAGTTGCATAAAAAAAGGTACAATTTGCCTGCAATAACGTCGTGGTTATAGGTGAGAATGAATAGGCAGGTCAGTTTTAAATACACTTGGAATTCAGAACCACCACCACCACCATCAGCAGCACCAGCAGGGACGACGTGGAAGTTCACTTGACAGGTTATATCGCTAGCAACAGGACTGGTTCGCATTACTAACAATCCCTTTCCCTCCTAATGTGTTTTTTTTATGGGTGAAAATGGAATGTTAACCTCGTCTGCGCTAACAGGATACGCTGGCGAAGCACCAGTGAAGGGTGATTGATGAGAATGAAAACAGACCAGTTAGCCCATCATGATGAATTCATCAGGAATTAACCATGATAGTTTCCAGAGGGAACCGGCGAGGACGTCGACCAGGTTGGGTATATTGCTAGCAATGGGATTCTAAGTCTCCATTACTAACGTGATTAGGCTAGGTACTCACTGGTCGTGGTCGTGCAGCATGCGGCGGGCAGGCGCGGGCGCAGGCGCCAGCAGGCGCTGCGTGTCGGGCGCGGCCGCGCGTGCTAGCGCCGCCGCAGCCTCCGCTGCCGCCTCGTCGTCGCACAACGACGCCTCGTCCTCCGCTGCACACCACACGCCACATTGTACAACCAGCTTCACGTTATCATACGTACAACAGAGGGCCTATCGTCAAACGTTTTCCGAAATTTCACAGTCCAACGAAATACAAGTTTGATGTTAAAATTACATGAATTAAAATATTAAAATTGTTAAAATATTATACTTTTGCACTTTTATGGTAGGATTTATAAAAAACAAAATATTAAACTCCATTCAACGGGTCGATTTCGGTATGAACAAAAACACGAAATTGAGATCGAAAATTCGGAATTGCATTTCATGGTAGACCCCCAGATACAGATTTTACTTTATTACTAGTTTTTGCCTATGACTTCATGCGCATGACACTTGATATAGCGTTTCATCATCATCATTATAGGTTCGTTCGTAAGGAGTATAGTGTCAATTGAGGTAAATACTAGCTCACGTTTTTCTCCAACCAAGAAATAGAAATAAATTCATGTTCATTTTTATATTATTACTCGCTATTATGTGGCTTCGCCCGCCTTAATTAGTACATAAAGTATCCAATATACTAAGTTAGGATATAACCTATTTGTGTATGTTTCATTCAAATCCGTTCAGTAGTTTTTGCGTGAAAGAATAACAAACATTGTTCTAAAGATTTTCACAAACTTTCGCGTTTATTATCGTAGAAGAATTACTAAGTAAGAATTTAAACAAACAAAAATAGTGTAACCGAGTAACACTTTGTATGTCTGTATGTGTGTGTGGTCGCCGTGTGGTCCCGGCATAAAATAGGCCACCCATCCTTTCCCGTGGTTGTAGTAAGAGGCGACTAAGGGAGGGCGAGGGATGGGCAGCAGCGTCTCTCTTAAAACATCTCTAAAAGGCTAACTGCGGTTGCCAACTTGCCTGCCAAGCGTGGCAACTACTGGCAAAACTTCCCTTATGGAAACTAAAATAATAATAATAAAATGTGTGTGTGTGTGTGTGTGTGTTTCAGTCCCATTCGTGCTTCTACATCAGTGGTTTTATGTAACTATATTTAAATTGGGGTGGTACAGGAAATGGCAGTGGTTTTTTTTTTGATGGGTGAAAATGGTATGGTAACTCCGCCTGCGCTAACGGGATACGCTGGCGGAGCACCAGTGAAGGGTGATAGATGAGAATGAAAACAGGCCAGTTAGCCCATCATGATAAATTCATCAGGAATTAACCACGATAGTTTCCAGGGAGAACCGCGAGGAGGTCGACCTGGTTGGGTGTATTGCTAGCAATGGGATTCTCAGTCTTCATTACTAACAATCCCTTTCCCCCTAATGACAGTGGTTAGTCCTCAAGAATGCCAACACATGAGCTCTACCATAAGTTTGTAATAAACTGAATTTAAAATGTATTCTGTTATTTAAATACGGGATATTTATAATTACACGTGCGATAGCCCATCAGCAGGTCTGCTATTCAAATCGTATTTTAAAAGTTAAAAAACTCCAGCAGGTCTACCATGAAATGAAATTCAGAAATTTCGGACTCAATTTCGTGTTTTTATTTATACCAAAATCGGATCAATAATTGAAGTTTAACATTTCGTTCGTCATAGATCCTATCATAAAAGTCCAAACGAACAATATTTTAACATTTTTTATATTTTCAAACGGCATGTATTATGTAATTTTAACATCAAATTTGTTGTTCGTTTGGTTCCGAAATTTCGGAAAACATTTCATGGTAGGCTCTCAGATTCTATTATTAGTGAAATAAGTACGTAATCCCGCGGTTCCGGATATTTGCTCTATTTCTTAGTCATATCAAATATGCGTAAGAGTTTGTTACGTGCTTATCAAATCTATTTATGCTAATGGGGTAAAATGGACCCATTGCTACCGGGTCGACCTCCACGCGGTTCGTCCTGGAAATCATTGTGTTTGATATATTGTTCAATTGGTCACAATCGGCCAATTGACTTGTTTATCCCTCACTGGTTCCTCGCTAGTGTATATCTATCGTACAGGCGGAGTTACCATTCGTTTATCATCCATTAAAAAAGAGAACTATTTACCTATTATTTTACATAATGCAGTAATTTTATAAAAACTAGGTTTTTCCTTGTTAAAAAAAGAATTAAATTTAGTATAAAATAAATTACATATTATAAAAATCCACGCAATGATGTGTTCTTATCATATGATTGCAAATAAAAGCAAATGTAAATAGTATATTAAGAGGTGAAGCGTTTTTATATTTTTGTATGCAACTTGTGCAATAACATGTAATTAGTATGATAAAAAACAAATATATTACTGGGTTATGTTTATATTAAATTGTCTACAATTATACATTATGTAAATATTTAACAAAGTATTAGATGTTATGTTAAAATGAGTAAAGTCTTGCGCATTGCGGAACTGCGTATCTATTTCTTATCTTTACATTATATTTCATTTATATAGTTAGTACTGATTGTTTATATTGAATTGCTGTCTTTCATAGCACACGTGGTTTTAGTAACGTCCCATGTGATATTACTCAGAAAGTAGCCTTTTTAAATTAAAAAACTATCCAAATTACTGTTAAAAACAGGCCAACTTTTTTATTCACGTATGAGTGAAGATACTGAACTGTACAGTTGTTACACGGTAAGTAGAATAAACGTATATTGAAACGTTAAGTGAAAAATAAAAAAAATAATTGAATACTATTATTACGTTATTGACACGTTTACGAAAGAATGGGCTAAACAGGGGGTCTACCATGAAATTAAACGTAAAATTTTCGGACTCAATTTAGTGTTTCTTTTCATACCGAAATGGACCCAGTACCAAGCATGGAGTTTAACATTTCATTCGTCATAAATGTCAGCATAAAAGTCCGAAAGAACGATATTTTAACATTTTTAATATATTTAAACGGTATGTATCACGTACTCTTAACATCAAATTTGTGTTTCGTTCGGTATCGAAATATCGGAGAACATTTCATGGTAGGTCCTAATAATGTAAGAATAAAAATGTTTTTTATTCAAGTAAAATTAATTACAAGCATTTTTGAATAGTAATTTTTCTATAATTTTATCATAATGATTCACAATGATGTTTATCTTCACTTTTTACTTTGATAGATATCTGAAAATATATTTCAAACACGCATTCCTTGTCAGAATTTCCCACTTTGATACTTATATATATATATCAATTTGTATTTAATATGTCCGCTGTGTAGTCAGGGCATAGAATAGGCCACCCCTTTCTTTTCCGTGGGTATTGTAAGAGATGATAAAGGGAACATAATGGTCGAGGGATGGGCAGCAGCGTCCCTCTTAAAACATCACCAAAGCCTTACTGCGGTTGCCAAACCTATGCTCATGTTAAAGACCTATATTCAACAATGGACAATAAACGGCTGGCATAATAATAATAATTAATTCAATATGTATATATATATATAATATATAAATAAATAAATACTATGTGAAAATAGTTTTTAATTCCAATTTAAAACTTCTAAATGTTCTGGGAAATTTTTAATTGAATACTTTTGCAATACTGAAAATTTGCTTCGTTTTGTTAAAAGAAAATATGAATATTGGCCCATTTTCGACATTCGATGTTCTTGCCCTTGACGCGTATGATCTAAAACCGCATCATTATCATTAGTGATTTGTTGCGAACTAGTTGCAAGTGATAAAAAGTGAATACAAGTTGTTAATTAAAAGATTGTTCTTTTTCGGTTTCTCATTTTTTAATTGTGCGAGTTTTCCATGTTTGTTTTAATATGTGTACATTAAAATATTGTCATATGGTCCCGGTATAGAATAAACCACCATTTGCTATCCCATAGGTGTCGTAAGAGGCGACTAAAGGAATTTAGTGGTCGAGGGATGGGCAGCTGCGTCCTTCTTAAAACATTACCAACGGCTAACTGCGGTTGCCAACCCGTCTGCCAAGTATAGCAACCTTTGACAAAACACATTGACAATAGGGGAGACCTATGATTTGTAGTATAGAGAGAACAACTGATAAAAAATAAAATAATAAAAAAATATATCAGGTAATTACTAGTACCCTTAGTAGAATCACTATTTAGTTTAGTTCTAGATGGCGCTCTGTGATAGGAAAAAAATTTATTAAGTATATTCAATTATTACAGAAAAGGCTATGAATACTATTAACCCTTTGAGTGCCGACGAGCGCCATCGCGCTCGTGCGCATTGCAACTAAAAGTGCCACGAGCGTCATAGCGTTCGTGAAATCAGTCGCTGTTTAACTTGCTGTAAAAAAAAAATATTAAAATTGGATAATTTTTGGAGGAGATACAGTCTTTTTAGAGACAAGGGTAAATGACATCAACACGACAAAGATTTCTTTGGCATCCTTAAGTAGACATGAGTAAAAATCAATGGCACTAAAACGGTTAAATTGGCCTTTTTTCTGCACGTAATTTATTTGGTCGACGTAAGTCCGTCTATGAACGCTCCTACCCACGTCTCCATTCATTCGTTCTCGATATATATCTTTCGTGATTCTATTTTGATCCATCCTTTCCAAATGATCAAACATTCTTATTTTTTTTTAGTTTTTGTTTACGTCATCATACATAGCTGTATGTGAATGGGTCATATGTTTTCATTCAAATACAAATATGCGGATATCTGTGACTTAACCACGCAAAAATGTCTGATGGTTCATGTCGATGATCGAAAATATGCGGCTAACGTGTAGATAAGGGGGGGGGGGATTGTTAGTAATGGAGACTGAAAATCCCATTGCTAACAATATACCCAACCAGGTCGACCCCCACACGGTTTTCCCAGGAAACTATCATGGTTAATTCCTGATGAATTCATTACGATGGGCTAACTGGCCTGTTTTCATTCTCATCGATCACCCTTCACTGGTGCTCTGCCAGCGTATCCCGTTAGCGCAGGCGGGGTTGCCATACCATTTTCACCCATAAAAAAAAAACGTGATGATAGGTGACTACTGCCGTTCCTGAGGAAGAACACAGTAGCGCAATCGGAGAAATATGCTCTAAGTTTCAA